ATTTCTTTTTTACTAATCTCACATAATTTATTTGTTTTGCTAGCAGTGAAGGAAAATAATAGGCCAATTGTGAAAATATACTGCCACTGAGAGTTCCCAGAGCAATTAACCATAATAATCTGTTCGTTGGTACCGAATGTGCTGAAGCTAAGAAAAGTAATATAATTACCGCCAATCCCTGAAATTGTCATTGATGCATAGTAGTAGTATAATTTAGTAATTGAACCAAATTAAAAAAGAAATCCAATAACAACCTATTTTCATTTTCCAAAGGAATATTATGGTAATGAAGCTTATAAATTGCTCTTATTCTTTTATCTTTTCATTCTGATGAATCATTTTTTTTATCATTCTTTTTCCTAAAATGAAATGAAACGAACCATTTGCAGAAGCCTGGAATAAAAGATCATCTTCAATGAATGCCTTTCCTTTACGGTGGTAAAAGAGCGATAACTTGATTCCATACTTTAAAAGTTTCTTCTTCTTTATCAGACTATTCAAAACTTATTCAGCAAGTGAAAGTTCACTTCTCGTATACTATTTACTACTCACTTTCACGTCTAAATTTTTTTTATTATTACTTTCCATTTTTAATTTTCTTTATCATACTTCGCGCATTTCAAACTTTTCGTTTCGAATTTTCTCACAGAGGTTTCAATCATTTTTATATTTACTTATCTCATTCTATCGGAAATCAAAAAGAGATTTATCTTGTAAAATGTTGAGACGCTTTATTGATTCTTCTAAGTTCTTCATTGCTCAAACTTTTTACTGTTATGAAGAAGCAAAAAAAGTTCAAATTTAATTTCCTATATTTGATATCTTATTTTTCATCTCCTTCACCTGAAAAGGAGTGACGACAACAAAAACGAATGACGCTTGCATTTGACCAAAAGTCAAAAGGCAAATCTTCTTTGGATCTGTCATGTCTTAACAAGTACAAAAACCGTGCCTATAGTTTTCTTTTGATACTTCCTCGTTATTTTAATTATCTTACATAAAATCGATAAAGATGTGTAACAACGAATCAAGTAGATGTAATAGAAATTTATGAAGCACTCATACTCCAAGTTGCAAGAATACAAGTTAATAAGATTCAAAGATGTAACCACTGCATGAATCATACAAACATGAGATAAATTTTTGTTAAAAAAGGAAATCAGTTTTGAATAGAAAAGCTATTCCCAATTTCAAGTCACAGAAAGATCTTGTTATAACAAGAATATTGGTTCCACTTCCGGTAACTAACAAATGATGACTTATCGATTCTTTTAACATAACTTTCAGCATTCGTTACGAAAAAGGAATAACTGTTCATCGTATTATAGAAGGTCAAGGAGCAACTTTTTGAAATTCTTTCTTTAGTTTGTAATTCTCTGTATCACTAAACTAATACTAGTAATTTTATTTTCGTTAAAATTGATAACAAAATTTGATAAAACTTTTCAAAAGATTGATAAAACTTAATTAAAATAAATAAATAAAGTCATCGATAAAAGACTAAAAAAATATCGATTTAGTGAAATAAATAAATCGAATCGTAGATGAAATGCTAAGAAATATTGATAAGCAGATAGAAATAGATAGTAATGACATTAACATTTTCTTATCAGTAAATTGATGATGAAGCGATGGCAAACACAACAAGCGTCCCTATCGCATCCCAACATTGCATGTCACTTTGAATACTTTAAATATGAGACCAGAACAATGACACCACTGAACCACGGAACTGCCTAATGAGCTGCTGAACCGTTAAAGTAATGAATTACTAAACTATGCAGCTATTAAATTACTGAATATATATACATATATTAAATTAAATTTGAATTGTTGAAGCATTAATTGCATAATTAATCAAATAATTCATAATATTAGTTAAGTGCTCTGAGGAGAGTTTCAAGGAAAGCAATTTGCTGAGATCAGAGGTGGCATTAAAAGGGTAAATAATTCGAAATTTTGATCAGTACTGCAATATATCATTCCTTAAAGGAATTTAGTGGAAATAAATGAATAGAAATTAAAAAAAAGCGACTGATCCTTGTTGAATATTTAACGAAATAATAAGAAAAGGAATGATCAAATAAGAGATAAATTTATCTTTCCTGAATTTTGTATAGTGATTTTGTTGTCAATTGAAATTTCTTTAGAAAACATACTGCTTGTAACGGCACTATAACTTCATCATCTTCCCATAAATGTCAATCCAATTCTTGAACTCACTTTTAGACATTCGGCAAATGATCAGTTTGAAGAATGATCCATCCGCAGAACAATTTTTCTAGTTTAATATAGACGTAGTCGAAATTTCAACCTTCTATCTTTTATGTGTATTTTAACAAGTCTCTCTTTATACGTTCATTTCATTTGAACATTCGCGTTGCTTTCACTCACAGCAGATCAATTTAATGTAAAGAATGGAGAAGTGAAAGTTGTGGAGATAATCTTGAAACACTTCAGTTACTTTTCTTTTTTTGACTTCTCCCACGTTGCTTAAAAGTTAACTTGGCCAGCAAATTTGGCCCGTTAAACTGAAATTTCATCTTAAATACTTCAGTAGAGAATCTATATCATAGCAATGAATAATTACAGCAACTATACCTGATATCCCTGAAATTCTTAGTTAAAGATAAAGCGATTATAAAGCAACTTATGAAAGGTTTAAAACGACTTCAAGCAATGGTTGAAAGCAAGGAAAAGAAGGAATAATTGATACGTTAGATTACTTGCTGATTTTTTCCTAATGATTTCTCTCAATTTTTAGACTTTTCGAAAGAAGGATTCTTTTGGAACTGTGAAAGATAAAAACAAAAACAGCCGCCATGCCACATATGAAGAAATATTTGAGCTAATCAAGAAATTACAAATTTATATCACAAAGATGGAACAAAAATCCTGAGAGTGCTGCAGGAACTACTGCCTGATTTCAGTTTAGTTCGGAGGACCTACAACATAAGATTATTATGATGGCCGTCGTGGTACGACTTTTTCAACTTCACACCAAAAGTTAATATATTCTTTAACGTGCGATACTGATAGCGTCAATTATACCATGTTCCAGCATGAGAGGAAAAAAATACGATTTGTTCAGCATTAGTAGTAGTTACATCTTTGATCATAGGTGATGGATTTTCATATCACTCAGTGCAATAGAATGTGGAAATACGATGTCAATTGATTTTTGAAATTCTTGGCGATCAACCATCTGAGGAACAAGAAGAGTGAGAATCGTAATTTGTATGCTGTTTACAGGATGTATGTCGAATATGAAGGCAGAGAATTCGAAGCATCAATAGCACACAGCCTCTCTAGTATTCGAAGCAGTACGATTTAGCAATAGCTAGGACCATTATCATTCATTGACAAAAGGAATATGTGTGTACAAAGCTGTTGTAACCACTTAAAATTCATCTCATTACATGATACTGATATATCAGTGATTAAGATGGCAATGATAACAATGATAATGTGAATGTAAAAAGTGCAAATAAAGATTTGCAGAATAAAAGTGCAATTTAACAAGAGTGGACGGGAAAGAAACATGAAACATACTTGGTGATAGAGTAAGCTTAAGAAGAGAGAAAACATTACAAAATAATAAGTAAGAACCTTTCTTCTCCAGTTTCAATGCTATGTTTTCATTCTAACATTTGACTGGTGTTGGTAACAATAGTGTTATTTTGCCATCTCACTTTTCTTCTTCATATCATTTGACTTCATAACTTTTGACTCAGAGGATCTGATGACTCAGTCAATAAGATTCCTGAATTTCGATTCACACCACTTCATAAACAATGCAACAAAGGTATAGTTCCTTTGAGTCGGTAAGGATACATCTATTTGCTTAACTGCTTAACTCATTAAATTTCATTTAACTTCATTGTAAAGAAGCTATTTTTGAACTTCTCTTCAAAAACAAATCTTAGAGAAGACTTCAACACATTTATCGATTGCTTCAACTACACTTCTTGTTAAAGTGACCGTCACTTGGAAATCGTGTAAGATTTGTCTCAATTGTCAGGAAACTTGAAAACTTGACAGCAACATGTATGTTTAAAAGTCGATCAAGCCAAACTGAAATTTGAAGCTCCCATTGATAAAAATATCGAGAGATAGTGATGGAAAATACATTTGGTATAAAAGAATCCATTCAACTCACATCAAAATCAAGAAATGTGAAATGAACCTGAAGAACGAAGTAATGTACTATGTGTTCAGAAAGAGTAAAACGGATGGGAAAGCAATTTCCATTTTGAATGAATATAAATCAGTAGTAACTTGAGGATAGCCCCTGTACTACATAGATTAATGAAAGGATAGCATCTGTCGGGGTATACACTAAATAAATTCTTTGAGCGTGCGTTATCAGTTGCGAAGATTTCAGTAATTACATGAAAAATTGATTTGTTACTTGCTGAAGCTAGAAAAGTTGCGATCTAACATATCACAGTAATAATTGCAATGAAATCAATCTAAGGAAAGAAGGCAATCTCAAGATTTAACGTAATAAGAAATTTGAAGTTTGCTGTTGAACAGAATAACTTAACATATCCCCTCATGCGCCGCTTACCGATGAACCGTTTTAGGTGTAATGATCTCTGTTTTCATTCTTCGAAACTGCCTCTACTGGGAAGGCACTATCTTTGAACGATAATTTCTAACTGTTTGGGCGCTTTCGGCCTCATCGATCTCCTCTCTTGACTATTACCATAAACACTATCATTTATGACAAAACAATTATGACTATACTCGCAACCCATGTGGCAACTGCAACCCCATGTGCTAACAATTTTTTCTACATCCAAAAATACATTTATAATCTACAACACGTAATTTAAAATTGAATTTGCCGCGCGCGCGTCCCAACCACACTAGATTGCATCGGAGACACTATCGTCACATTGCTGTGGCATCCTTCTCCTTGTCCTAACCTCTGCATGGGTTGACCTTCCCTAGCTTTACCTCTCCACCTTTTTAGATGTCACTTTGTGTGCGCTAAAATGGTAGTTGTCACCACAAAACTGTGGAGCGAAAAGGTGGGTGTAGCATTTTATTAGCCGATCATTTATCGATTGCTTTCTTCAGTTACATTTTGCTTTCCTTTTTTATTGTGATTTTGAATTTAGATTTCTTCCTTAGAAGGAAAAGGCGCGTTGGAAATGAATTCGGAAAATGAGGAGTCCCAAGCACCTGTGGATGAAACCATGGATGATACCACAGATGACGGTCCATGCTCAATGGTAACCGAATGTCAGTCACTCCAAGGACAGGTTCGAAACTGCGATTCGGATGCATCAGCGGTGACAAAGGTCGAGTTAAGCGATACGGCTGTTAGCAAAACATCAAAAAGTGTTAGTTCACATTTTCTGTCTTATTGTCTTATTTTAATACCATCTTTTATTATAATTATTATCGCTTTGTTATTAATAAAATAATGAATAATAGAATGTTGTCATTCAAATACATGACAACATTCTATTATTGTGAGTGTTTAGTTTAAATAAAAAAGAAAGTATGAGGAATGTTCATATCAATCATATGTTGCTTATTAGTGAAGTTCGTTTGATAAGCCTCGTACTTTTTGAAGTTCGATAAGCAAAGTTCTCTAAAGAGACAGTTATTCTTTCCAAATCCCGCATTCGCGTTAATGGAACTTTTGTCCCTTCCAAGAAGACTTTCAAGAAAAGGTTTTTTTACAGTTGAAAGCGCTTCTCGAGCAACAGCAATATGAAGATATGCGAAATACCTCGTGGGCTGACTTGATGGAAGAAGAAATAGCAAAATCGAGAACTGTCTTGCAATCGAACAAGGGTGAAGAGGTTGCAGCATTGGAAACACAATTTTCAGAGAATGATCGTACCATTTTAAGTTCTAATGAGGAATATCCAAGTCTGTCAATTGCTGTTGAACAATCAAATATAGAACGGCGTAAAACTAGTCCATTGAAAAAGGAACGAGGGACGAAATCCAGGTAGGAATGCGAGATTCTCTTAGGAAAAGATTCTCATTCTGAAGTGTGTTTCACTCTCAGCTTTTATTTTGTTTGGAGTTCATTTTTGCAACAAAAAGGAATAATAAACTGCTTAATTATATCGTTGGATTGCAGTAGACACATGACGATTCTCTTTAGTCACTAAAAAATTTAAGAATGGACATTCAGGAGAAATTTTACCATGTTCAACAATGATTTCTAAGACAATCTTCGTTTCTAATTTTCACAATTCTTTAGCATTTCTTTTCCTTTCTTTGTTTTCATGTATGAAAGTCCTGAAGTGTTGCATGGTTTCAGATTTAAACGCAATTTGAAGCTCACAGAAGCGCTGGCTGGTCAGGCATTGAAAACTGATAGTCAGGTTTCCGGAAAACCGGTATTTCTGAAGTTATATCGTACCAAATTGCATTTTTTTAAAACAGAGCAATTCAAATCAAAAGAGGTGAAAAGTGCTGATTGTATTTTGGTAACAAAAGTGACTTCTGTAGTTTTAGCTACGCCGTGCTATTAAACGAGACAAAACGAAAGGAGTTCAAGCACTATTTTCAATGAGCACTGATGATGAGGAGGCTCCAACATCTTCGAAATATCAGAAAAAAAGAAGAAAAAATATGCACAGGGAAAAGACTGTTTGTGAAGCTAGTAATTCGAGATTTGACTCTGAGGATTTACCTCTTAGTGATGCTGAACGTTCTAGTAGGGACAGGTTCGTTGCTTGTTGTTTTTTTCTAAACGTCAAATTATCGTAAGTATAGATAAACTTTACTTTACAAACGTCCTATAAAATTTACCGCTATTTCTTGCTATGAGTCAATAAACAATAACAGCTTTCCGTATGGAATTCTAGTAATACGACAATTACAGCTCGCCCGGAAGTTGTTCTAGTGTTGCTTCCACGTTGCGTATTAAGAAAGGTTGGAGAGAGCCAAAACTTGGTTGGTGTAGAAGCGAAGATATTCTTCTGAGGCGTTCAAAGGTACCATTTTTGCATGCATTTTTTCGAACATTTTCTGCATTTGTTATAAAACGTCAAATTATTGTAAGTATAGATATAGCTTTACAAAAAAAAAAAATTGTCCTATAAAAATTAAAAGAGTAATTTTTATTTTGTTAAGGAAATTGAGAAAGCAAAAGAGAAACCAGTATACGCGAAATATCTTGCGAAAGTACCACGACATGCTCGAACGAAAAATATGCCAAAAACTCCTAACAAATATATCCAATACTCGCGCCGGTCTTGGGACAAACAGGTTATTTTTGAATTTGCTGTGTATTCTCAATGGAACGGTTTTTCTCTTTTTACCTATATATATATGGATAAAATTTTCTTTGCTTTCCAACGCAATTGATCAGGAAGAATCGAAGTTTATATAAAGCCTTACAGGTACGCCTATGGAAGCGGCGATTATATGAGTGGGCTGATGAGGAACCGACTGAAAGCTGCTTAAGTTTAAATGAATCTACAGCTGATGAGATCCCAGACAGTGAGACAGTATCCTCATTTCCTTCTACTTTGATGTCAGATGAAAATAAATTATCTTTGGATGAAATCAAGGTTATACAATATTATTTTGATGCTATTAGTTGTAAATTTGAGGGTGATTAATATCTCTTGCTGTTTGCTTTAACTTATACATTATATTAAAACATCTGCAAGATGCTTTAGATATTTCGGATATAAACCCTTTGATTTGAAGCAAATTATTTCCTAAATGTATTTGTCAATACTTTCGCTCAAATATCAGGTGGAGCAAGATGCAGCAGCTTCCCTTCTTGGTTGCCTTGATATCGATACACGCACTAATACGCTGACAGTCATGAAGACTGACGATGAATCAACGCTTAAAGGAACATCGCGTAGTGTCCTTGGACCTCGTGATTTTAGCCAGCTTTAGCTTTGCCTTTACCTTCATATCAGTGCTATTGTATTAGTTGGTTTATTCTGTTTTTGTCTGTAATCACATTTCCGAGTGATATTTCAAAATCATTAATTTTGCATTCTCTACAGTCAGAAACACTTTGTGTTTGATCAGTAAATGGGAAAAATCTGTTGTATTCGCGTAAGTTTGTGTATATGTGTGTGCCTATTACTTTAAAAACATGATTATTAAAATCATTCAGTGATTGCAGCAAGAACTCGCTATCAATGAAATGAATGATTTTGTTTGTGATGAGATATTTTCGTTGCTGTATGAATAGCTTATTAATTGGCATGAACGCAGATTTTTCCAGAAAAAGTCATGCTTACCAGTTTTTCTTGAAATCTTCAGTTGAACTTCATTGTATTTTACTTATTTTGTTGTTATGCATATATTAATTAACCTGTTAGGATTAGCTGGCTGATTATTATATTCTTGTTTCACGCTCTACAATAACTTTTAGACGCTAATTCACACTTGAAATTCGAGAATGACAGTGTACAGTTATTGTTGTTTTAAAGTTGTGATTTCTCTCCATAGTTCTGTTCTAGAGTGTGATTATTATTTCGCATTGCGTTTTATTTATTATCATCTCTCTTGTGCATTCTCTTTTGCGTGATTTAAATCGAAATAAAATCTTACGCGAAATTTGGAAAAGAAGCGCAGTAAATTGCTTGTATGCTAATGCTTAACACTAATCAGGTAGTTATTCCCGGTTGTTTCCCTGTTCTCCAAAAAAAATAATTGTAGGCAGTAATCAAAAATTGAAGCCGAAGGATATGTTGTGCATCTTTCAGCTTTAACTGTGCCAACATGAAGGAATGCATTCTACCTTTATTTCTATTTCGTTTTTAGTTCAATTTAAACTGGTTAGTATCAAATTGTGTTTTTAAAATATATCAAATTGAACCAACAATTTGCGCGAAAGATGGAGAGTTGGTACTTGAGCGGTTATATTTTAGTTGCAGTGTGAATGCATCCATTTTGTCATTTTTAAACTCAAATTAAAAGAGCGCGGAAGTGCACAGAGAGTGCGGTTTTCGGAGAACGACTTCATAGAGAATCAATCCGGTTCTATACTCAGTATGAACTTTTCATTTGTAATTTTTCCAAAGAGAACCTTAATTTTGAAGTTTAGCTTGTCGTCTTTTTCCTCACAATCTTATTTGCTTTCTGTATTTATATGTGAATAGCACTATTACTGTTATCCTACATTCTAAAATGACCATATATCAGCAATGACTTTCAACATTTGAAACCATCTCATTGTAGTGGTAGTGGTTAAGGCTAAATGGAATTGGTCAACCGAAGAATCACGGTGTCCCTTAGTCTACTTGAAGTTTCGTGGAAATGCTTTTTTGGTACTATCCAGTAATTTCATCCTTACATTGCCAAGAAATGTTTGAGGCGAATCTTCGTCAGATACAAAATCTCTAAAGTTATTGAACTTCAGTGTACTCTTGTTTGATGTATTTAGTTGTGGATTCAGATAATTATAATTTTCGATATTAATCCCACATCTATTTATTCTCCATTGCCCATCTTGGTTGACTTATTAGTGATCATTGATACTCTCTATGCATTCACATCCATCAGTTCTATAATTATCCATAGAAAACTGCCTTCAATAAGATAATATGATAGCACGATATTTGTTCTGGGCCTATTCTCTCATCGAATGCATTCATTTGCAAAATTGCAAAATGGCTGTAAATCGTTGAAATATACTGTGTGAATTTAGTCAAAAGACGTTAATTCGCGATAAGTTCAAATTTGCCATATTTACGTTTCAGGAGGAACGAGAAATGACCCCTCAACAGTTGTCGCATATTGCTGTTGGGGAGAAATAAATTGCTGTTGGGGAGAAATTGGAGAGAGATTAGACAGTGACACAACAACAGACAATGTGTCTTTAACGAACAGATTAAAAGCTTTTTCGTTTTCATTTAATCCGTTGTTAAGAAAAACAGTTCTTAATAGATTTACACCAGGCTAAATAGTAAAGATCAAAAGATATATGACATGAGACGACAGTTCGAGGCATTTCTATTCCTTCTTTTATCTCCTCCGTATTTTTTGCAGTGAGTAAAGATATGCGAGAAGAATGCGTCGTCATCCTTTTTATTGCTCCCTCATTTTGGATTTGCAAATTAAATGCGAGAGGGATGAGATTGATGTGTTCAGTCTCAGTTAATATTCTTTTCTCTCCTTCTCCCTCCCTCTCTCTCTCTCTCTCTCTTTCTTTCTCTCTCTTCCTCTGTCTCTAAATATAGCAAAAACTGTGTTGTAATTGGAGAACGCATATTGCTGATCAAACAGTCGACTTCATAGTCAGATCACACACTGTTAAGGAATGACCGGTTAGCGACCACTTGCATGACGATGTTTAGCTCTATCACAGTCACAAAAGTACACTGAGAACAAAGGAACCGTGAGCTGACCGATGGTCATTTGGTAATTGAGAATTAAAATTTGATGAAGATGGTTTGTGCTTTATTAATGAAACTTGAAAGTATTTTACTTTGCATTTCACAGATAATTTTTCACTGAAAAGCGGCTTCCCTTATTCAACTTTTCTTTCTTATCAACCTTTTCATTCTTACCCTGTTAGCAAGAGCATGAATGTATTGAGATATTCCCGTATCAAGCTGCTCGTTAATCAACATTTCTCCATAATTTTTCACAAAATGATTTCGCATCTCTCAGCTGGCGCAATGAGTAAATGGAAGCGGAAAGATTTATTTCAAGAGGAGTGATTACCATAAAAAGTGATGATGGATGGAACGGTGTAAAATTTCATCTGCAGTAAAATGATGGAATTGTTGCGCCTTTTCTTCTTCAACCACTTATTTATGAGCTAAACAAAACTACTGACCTGCGAGAAGGTTGAAAAAGGAATGAGATAAATGATGAGATATAATGCAACATTTGGTAACACCTTTCAACAAAAGGGTAGTTGACACCGACCCTCGAATATTCGTTTTAAGAGAGCGATGGCTTTGTCCATCAAGCCATAGGGCGGTACAGCGTGATTTTCACTGATTACTTAGTTTACCGTTAAAATGTGCGTCACACCGAAGAGAGTGTTTGTGTCACGGAAGAAACTGTGATGGTTTAATAAAATCAGTAAGAGACTTTAATTTAAAAAATGATGTCATAATGATGGATGCGCTCCACTGCCATCTTTTACAGCTTTCCGTCTGCTAGCAATTGCAATCAGGAAGCGCGAGATCATGCGCATCCACATCAGCATACCAGTACTCAAATTTATCCCACTGGTCATTTTTCAGAAGAAGTCTGCTTGCTCCCCGAGAAGGGAGAAATTTTTGAGAGATGGATAGATAAAGTTTGAATGGTGGAGAAAGGACAGAGAATGAGTGCGGGAGCGAATTCGGGTCATCCAAATGCTCTGCGAGTTGCTCAATTATACATCCCCAAAAATGGTTTAATGAACGCTCCCTAAAAATTCTTCATTTTTTTCTCCTTTTAATGAATATTATATTTATTTTTTGCTTCACTATTATTATTATTATTAATTGTCATAATTATTATTAGTTATAATTATTTTTTTGCTATTAATTATTATTGCTTTCGGAAACAAACAAATTAAGAGTTGTCGGAATGTAGTAGTAGTTCTGAGGTCAATGACTAATAATGAAGGAGAAGAATATGTAGTAGAGAACGATAAAACGAACTGAATTTTGTAGAGCGTTGAAAAACGATGTTTCTCAACTGCCAACTGCGTTTTGACCTCAAACTTGGCGGTTTCGTAATATGCGCTGCTTCCGCTACTTCAATTAATGCATTGCCTTTCGACAGGTTGAGATGTTTGAGTATCTAAATTTCCGGGATGGAAAAACCGGTTTGGAATGCTCGATCAGATGAAGTGAGCTAATTGATTCTTTTTTATTTAGTCTCTCAGGTTCAATTCAAAATTCATTCTTTCACTCCACCCGAAATCGAAAAAAAGCATTTGTGCAGTCATTTTAGGATTATTTTCATTCGATATCGCATGTGGCAAGAATAAGGAACCTGTTTGCATTATCTTTTAAAATGATCACATGTTTCAACAAATGATTCCTCTTGTTGGGATTTTGCATAATCTGTGCTGTCGTCTTTTCGTTTGCGTAATCTCCGCTGTCATCTTATCATATTTTGTTGGAGGAGGAAGAGCTTTGAGGAGAGATCGGGAGTTATCTGAAGTCTCGAAGATGGTTTGTGACATAATCGATGTTGATCCAAAAGGAGAAACAATGAAACATTCTTCGAGAGTTTACGCGACCTTTTGTTTAGGAACTATTACAGTAGGACCATTTGCTTCATGAAAGAAACCAGTGACCATTCTCTAATTCAAAGATTGTAAAAATGATAGCAAGTTATTTAAGTATTTATCCGAAATTTTATTTTACATCGTCTTCTTTGACTATTTAACTGCAGCACTTTTTTTTGCTGCTGCCAACTAAAACCGATTTCATGGAATTTCACCGCCGTAACTTCCTGTTTTGGTATCACAACAGATTATAATCAAAAAAGAAAAGAAATTCAACTACTGTATTTTAGTGCCACGGATCTTAATTAACAAATCTTTCTTTCGATTTTCGCATCTATCCCTTCATTATTCATTCATTTATGTTCTCATATCTTTTCAAATCGTTTTATTTGCTCCTGCAAATATAACAGTTAATCCCCCGATATCTTCTATTTGTTGGTACAACCTATCTTTTTGTCGTTTCTTTCTATTCACTCTCTAAATGCGCATCTGTCAGTTATCATCATTTTATTTCCTCTGCTGACTATCCAATTCGATTCTGACCGTTCTATTTATCGTACGTTAAACCTCTCAGATAACTTCGAGAAAAAGATTCGATGGAATTAAGAATATTTTGATATCATTTATTCATTTTAGCTGACCCGTGGCAATCAATGGTAATAACAGTGTTATTTATCATACTATTTCAAGCAGAAAGAAGTGTTGGCGAGTTGAATAATTACAATGAAAAGATTGTATTTAGTTTCATTAATTCCGTAGCAAAACGTAATGTCAGCCAAGTTTGTGGTGATAGCCTTACAAAGGTGAATACTATTAATTGGTAATGGAGTAGAATAATTAATTCTAATTAAATGGTAGCCTGTTCGAACGGTCGTCGATTCTTTTTGTGAATAGAAGTCATGTCCTTGAAACTGCTAGGCGTATGAGATGAGATTACTCAATATTTCTTAATGACCAGCTCAGGAATAGAAAAACTTGTCAAGTTTAATATTTTCAAATTCATTCATTCACATTGTTAAGATTCTTGAGAATTTTAGATCGGTCCGTATTTGTTGGATTACAATACGATTCCAGCTCAGAAGGAATTTTTTATCACAGCTTATACATCTGGTGACGCGGAGCAGTTTTTTAGTAGGGATCAAGATCGCTGGGTGAGTATTTTTTGGTGGTTTTATTCATAATAGATGAGTGGATCTTTGGATCATGACTTATTCAAAGGTGGTGGAGCACTTGCTCGGAAATAGGTAACATGGATCTTTTTTTTGGTTTCCAACCATTATTATGAATTAGCATGATTGGAACTGGAACTACTAAATTGGAATGCTATTTCTTCTTGGCTTCTGAACTTATGAAGTCTCTAAAGAAAATTTTCCAGGTATTCCGAGCATACAAATGTATCCAAGCAGCCGGAGAGGCGCCCTATTCAAAATCTGAGCATCCGTTGCATTACTGCTTTGGTTATAATGAAGATAATGAGAAAAGTGATGGAGTGGCGTATGGGATTTGTATTCCATCTATTTGTTATAATGATCGAAACAAGGTATAGCAGTAAAATGTACAAGTTAGGGTATGCCAGTTTACTTGCTTGCTGAAGGCTATCTTATTTTTCTGCTAATTACTGCAATTATTTCCAAAGATTAACTATAGTTACTGGATGAATGGCGATCAATGATATCCACTGATGCTATAGCAATCGATTACACTTCGTGCACCAAATCACGTCATGATCAACAGTGGTACCAAAAACCAGTACCCATCGCGGAATTTATTCTGCATCAAAATTTCATGTTGCTTGTTGTAGTTGCCACTGTTTATCACATAAAGAAGGGAAACCAGACCAGGTATGTGGAGCACTAATCTTCTATTATGTGACTATTGTTTAGATATATCGAATTCATTCCAAAATGTTGATTCCGTTGGCTTAAGTTACATTTCATGTCAGAAATATGTGGGTAGAAATCTTGTTGGCCTTTTCTGCAAAGAAGAATTTGATGAAATTAATCCGAATGCCAAAAGATTCACAGTCAACAATCACTTGTATGTTCGGTATGCGTTTCCTGTCCATGGTCTGGACCGTTATTGGCCACTCATTCCTTTTCGTCCAGGTATCCAATTTTGAGGTCAAATGTCAGTTTTTAAGAAGAAACAACCATCACAGAATAAACCTGAGAGATAGATCCTTCTCAGTTTTGGTCTATAGGCTTATCTGGATAATGTGGAAGAATACAAGAACGACATGGTCGACCATTTCTACAACCAGTGGATTACAAATTTTACACTCGGTGTTGATACTTTTTTGGTGCTTAGTGCTACATTGACTGCTTTTACTTGGTTTAAAAAAATTCACAAGAATTTATCAGGTGCGTCACCTACCGTTTATCCCAAATTCTAGCGTAGCTATTCTCTTATGTTTACTGTTTTGAAAGTTTGTTTCAAATTTAGACAACAAACTTTGATTATTTAGGAAATGATGACAGCGGATATGGTTACCGTTACTACTGATAATACTAGTATTTACTACTCTACTTTTACATTAATATATTAATTTCTAGTACTTTCTTTACTGCTACTATCCTAACACAGTTTTTCTTCCTCTTTTGCTCTTTCGTTTTCCAACTTTATTTTATTGTTTCATTTATTACCCTTTTTTGAAGGAGAAGGGGTCATTTGTTGGTTATATACTATACCATACTATGTGGTGGAGGTGGAAGTGTGGTGCGTACGTTTTTCTTTTTTTCTGTTGAAATCATTTTATTTTATGAGAATACAAATATACACACATACACATACACACACACACACACACATACATACACACACACGCACACACACACACACACACACACACACACATACACACAGATACATACGCTGTACATTATCATCATCGTTTTGAAAATACCCTTCACTATGTTACCGGTGCCTCTATCATGTATTGTGCACCTTTTCACCAATCTTTGAAATTCTTTACATTCCTGAATTAACTCATTACGTTACTGCTTTATGTGTTTGCAATATTTGAAACTGTTTATTCGAAGCATTTGTTTGTTAGTAAAAGAAGGAAAAATGATTTATTTTAAATTACGCTTTTTTTTTTGTATTTTTTGAAATTAAACATACTGAAGTTGAAATTATGACTAAAAGAGTTGTTGATTTAACATCACTTATTCTCTTCCTCATATGATAAATGAAGCCAACTGGATCATCAATCTCATTCAGTTGAAATATTTCTTTTACTTTTAATTTCAGAATGAAACTAATGATTCAATAAAATAATGTAAATAATTACATCAAACAAAAAGAATATCGTAAACAATGATAATTACGGTATTCTTACAAATATACACACTTCTGATAATGATAATTATGATGATTATTTCATCAAGTAAAATTTACATTTTTGATATTTATTGTATTTTTAAAAAAAGGAAAAATCAATTGCGTTAATTAAATAATCCGAAAAATAAAACTTCACGTAAAAGCTTACGTACGTATTCAACATTTTTTCTCATATTTCAAGAAATAAATTCCACCTGTAATATTGATTACAGGTGGAATTTCTTTCTTGAAAAAACGTATCATAAAAATAATGAAATGAATTTTATTTTCTAAAGAAAGGAAATTACAATTAAATTAGCAAAATTTCTTCCACCATAAAATTTTTCCCATTCTATTTGTATGTAAGTGAAAGTTTTTAATCTTTCACTTTTGTCTCATAAAATTCCTTTATTATGGAAGGAAAATGGTAAAAGCATTTCGCTTTTCATTTTCTTTTACATTCGAACAAAAAAGTCGAGAAAATTTCTTAAAATGATGAATTCTTCTTAAAATTCATCATAATTGGGAAAAGCTTTTTTCGTTCATTCTATAGAACTTTGATATTCAAATTTGGCTTCCTTTTATTAATTATTATTGATAATTTGATAAGGCATATTTTACTGATTCAAATCATTCTAAAATTCAATTTATCAAATGTTCACAAAATTCAAAACATTTTTATTATATAACGGCTTTGTTTAGAGAATCTAATAATTTGGTTAGAAAAGAACGTACCATAAGGAGCAATGATAATTTAAACTACCCTGTATATATGTATTTTTGTTTGTATGTGTGTGTGTGTGTGTGTATGTGTGTGTGTGTGTGTGTGTGTGTGTGTGTGTGTGTGTGTGTGTGTGTGTGTGTGTGCATTACGACATAATATAGGAAA